CTTTTGTTCAGATTTTTTGGTTGGTATATATTTGAAATACTCTTTAATATACACTTTCCTTCTTTTTTATCAACAAGAGTGTTTTTAGTATAAAATTGTTTATTGTATGTGTTCGAAAATGTTGGCATAAGAAAATACTTAAACTACATCTTGACCAATTTCTTTTGGTCTGTGATTTTCGGATTAGAATATGCAAACTTCTACTTCTTCCATCTTATACAATATTTTTCAGTAGATGACAATATAATTGTAAAGTGCTCGCACGTTTATTTTTTTTAATTATCATAGTATACTGTTCCATAAATGATTCGATCACCTTAAATCATTCAAAATATTATTTTGAAATACTGACCTCAATAATTTGTCTTCGTACATTAATGAAATATAATTCGCCCTGTAATTCGCTTCGTAAGAGACCAATGGAAAGAAATGGCAGAATTGAAGAAGTACAGTAACATACCAGCAAACGAATGGGGAAGATATCTGACGGAACTGTTTAAAGGAAAGGAAACTAATAATCAATACAATAACGTACCTGAATTAAGAAAGAAATAGAAATCAGTTATCAGAAAGTCGAGATAGCCATATATTCACCAATAAATAGAAAGTCACCAGGACCAGACGGAATAACCAACGAACTTCTAAAACATTGAGGAGAATGTATAACCCTAGAGATGACAAAACTTAATGAACAAAAACTAATATTGCACTGCAAGATACCAGACGCATGGAGAAACAGCATAATGATACCAATGTTCAAGAAAGGAGATAAAGAAGACCCCAACATCAACAATTTGATCGCATCCAAGTTGAAGATGTCTCACACCTACTATATAAAAGAAACATACCAACATCTAAATAACCAATACGATGTAAAATCGTAAAATCGAAATTGATGGAAAAATAATAAAGCAGGAAACAGGGTTTAGATATCTGGGAATAGATATAATTAAATACGAAGATGTTAAAGAAGAAGTACGACAACGAAGCTTAAAAGCAAGTAAATCGGCGGGATCTCTTAATGACACAATCTAGAAGAACACACACCTTAGACAAGACACAAAAACAAGAATCTATAAAGCAACAATTAGACATATATTAAATACACAGCGGAGAGAAGACCTGAGACATCTAAAAAAAGACGACTACTAGAAACAACAGAGATGAAAATACTCCGACAAATATGAGGTAAAAGTCTGTTGGATAGGGAGAGCAAAGGCAACAACTTAATAAAGATCGTGGAACTATTTAACAGCATTTACAAATCTGGTATCATACCTAATGAATGGCTAGTAACAACAATAATAGCCATACCCAAAAAGTCTAACGCGAGACAATGCTCGGAACATCGCACCATCAGTCTCATGTGTCATGTATTAAAGGTCTTCTTAAAAATCATTCATCGGAGAATATATAAAAAATTGGAAGTTGATATCGGACCTTCTCAATTTGGCTTTAGAGACGGACTAGGAACTAGAGAGGCACTGTTTGCTTTTAATGTTCTAACACGACGATGTTTAGATGTAAATCAGGACATATTTGTGTGTTTCCTAGATTATAACAAAGCATTTGATACAGTAAAACATAGACCACTGATGCAAATACTGGAAAATAAAAATATTGATAAAAGGGACATGCGAGTGATAAGGAATCTATACTACAAACAAGAAGCTACAGTACGAATTAACAGCTCGATATCAGATAGAATACAGATCAAAAGAGGTGTTCGGCAGGGCTGTGTGTTGTCTCCAACCTTGTTCAATGTCTACGCGGAAGAAGTTATTAAAAAAGCTCTTATGAACGAAAAAGCTGGAGTAAAGATCAAAGGTCACCCCATTTGCAATATCCGATATGCTGATGATACCGCGCTCATAGCAGAAAATATTGACGACCTACAGAGATTACTAAACAAAGTGGTAGAAGCAAGTGAAGAATTTGGTCTGTCACTGAATACAAAGAAGACCAAATTCATGATAATTACAAAGAAACGTATCAATAATATCAACTTACATGTAGGACAGAATCTCATTGAACGAGTACAAAATTACAATTACCTCGGAAAAAATATTAACGAGTCAAACGAATACACCAGAGAAATAAGAATAAGAATAGAGAAAGCCCGCAGTGCCTTTAACAACATGAAACAAATGTTGTGTAGCCGAAACCTAAGCCTAAAGCTGAAAATACGAATGCTTAAATGTTATGTTTTCTCGCTCCTGTTATATGGGGTGGAGGCGTGGACACTAAATAAGCAATGTATGGGTAAGCTGGAGGCATTTGAGATGTGGGCGTACCGAAAAATGTTAAAAATCTCCTGGAAGGATAAGATAACTAACCAAGTTGTATTAGACAGGATGAACAAACAAAAGGAGGTCGTATTGAGTGTTAAAATGAGGAAACTACAATACCTGGGACATATTACACGCGGGAATAAATATCAACTGTTACAACTAATTATGCAAGGAAAGATTGAAGGTAGGCGCAGCATAGGTAGGAGAAGAATGTCATGGTTGAGAAAACTCAGGGAGTGGTTTGCTTGCACTTCCATACAATTGTTCCGAGCGGCAGCCTCCAGGGTCAAAATTGCCATGATGATAGCCAACCTTCGTAGCGGAGATGGCACGTGAAGAAGAAAAAGGATAGGGAGAGAAGCGAAAACATAAGAACAGCATGCAATATAGAAAACATAATTGGATGGGTAATAAAACGGAAAAAGGAGTGGAACGAACACATTAGTAGAATGCCAGAGGATAGGATAGTACGAATAGCACAAGATAAGTCATCACACAGACGAAGAAGTATTGGCAGACCAACAAAAAGATGGTGCGACAATTTAAACAATTTAGGATGCTAATATTGAAGAAGAAACGGGCTTTAAAGCCTCCATACAAGAAGAAACAAGGAAGAAGAAGATACACTTTGTATTGTAGTTTGCACCATTATAACGTATGGAAGTAAGACTTGGACACTAAACCAGAGTGAAACAAAAAAAAATATTAGTCATACAACGGAAGATCTGGACGATCTTTGGACATTGTAGAGACAAGATAACAGAAGAGACTAGGCGACGATATCACAAGCAACTCCAAGCATTCTATGAAGACGAAAACATAGTACGATACATCAAGGCAAATCGTATAAAATGGGCAGGACATGTAGTGAAGAGAGGCCCGATGGCAGAACGACAGTTAGTCACCTTGTTAGTAGAGCCAAGAAAAAAGAATAAGGCATAATTGGAACACACATTGGTCAATAATACCTACTGTTTAAGAGTTTTTTAGTTTTCCAGGTGCATCATCCAGGGTAGTTAGACATTCCAATAGACAGACAAGTCTGTTGTTATATTTTGACTAATAGTTTATAAAATAAGAAATGAAATGAACAGAAAGAAAACGTTTATATCAGGTTAAGGAGATTTATGTGTTGGGAGAGAATATCGCTAATTCATCTACTTCTAAAAAACTGATATAAACGACTTAAGATCTTTTAAAACGTAATATTTCAGCAAAATGGTGGATGCAAGCATATCTAAATACTCTTTTTCCGGCAAGAGGGATTATCTGACGGTTATAGATAAAGTAGTAACTAAGATCTGCTAATTTTACTTTATTTGCATTTTATTTTCTTTGGAGATAATTAAAATCCAAAGTATCTGAGTCGGTCAGATGGCCAAGTGGGCAATTGCATTGACTTCGCTGTGAATTATCTAGCGGACGATGGTTTAGGCTATGGCCAGAAAACAAAAAGGCTAAAAGGTAGTAATTTAAAGGCTGGCGTATCGAATTGACCTATGGATGAGCAGTACGGTAAAAGATAAGGGCTTGCGGCTCAGTGTTACTCCTCCATAGATTCCTAAGGAAGAGCGGGTATTCTTATAAAACTATTTTTTTTAACTAAAAAGGAACTATTTTTTACATATTTAAAACAAAACCTTTCCCACTATTTCAAAAAATCAAACTTCTTCTTTCTTGTATCTACAACTCTTATGCACCTTTGAATCTTTTTCTTGGGCGCCCGAATGATCTTTTCTAATAGGGCCCTTCCCAGAAAGATTTAGTAATCATTCATCATTCGATCTCAGTACAATGTAAGTGAGCATGTCATGCTCAGTCCTGCACATCTTATCCGATTTGCATTGATATCTCCTACTATGTTTTCTTCTCCACTCTCCTGTAATCTTGTCTCTACAAGGCCCAAAGATCATCCGGAGGATCTTCCGTTCTGTCTAATAATTTTGTTGTTTCACTCATGTTCAGTGTCCACGTCTCACGTTCATACGTTACTATGGATCGAACAGCTTTTTTATAACAATTTTCGGCTGTTATCACTGCTCCCACGTAGTTCAATCCTTTGTTTAATTCTTAGTCTTGGATCTTTGGTAACTACCATGCACTTGGTCTTATCTTCGTTGACCTAACGGCCTATTTGCATTGTTTCAAAAAATGAAACTCAAGACCAAAAATCCTTTGAATTGTTTTCAAGCACGTATTAAAATCAATTCTTTGCATTATTTAGAAACCGTGAATTTTGGCACCAAAGTCTTATATAATCTTTGAGATCTGCATTTCAAATTTAAAGGCATTTAAATAAAAAACTATGACTAGCACTGAATGGAGATATTATTATGTTTTTGACATAAAAGTCGGCATGTCAATCGTTTTGATTTTGTTTAAAAAATAGATAAGTTTACTGCAAAAAAACTAAACTATGTTTTATGTACATTTCAGTTAAAACTGATCTTTATTAAAGTAGGTTCCATTTTGCAATGCTATTATGGAGTTCTCTTCAGTGTTGCCTTTTAATAAATCACATAGTCAAAGCCTTTCTTAAGACAAACAAAATCAAACTTCCATGGGGTAAAACAAATTTTAAAAAATCAAATTTTCTCCAACCAATATATCTAAACTTACGCTAACAAAATGTCCCGAGAGGTACAACCTTCTTATTTTACTTTCTTTATCTAAAAACTCTGTACAAACTTACATCTAATATTGCACCTCTCATCCAACCTCAATCAAGGGTTTAGTGTACAAGTGTGTGAGAGCTAAAACTATATTAATGTACCTTCTAATTTTCATACTGGCGTCTGACGAGACACGCGCCAATTGCTGATTGTCTATGGGGATGCCTTCGTCGGGGCTGGTGGTGAACTCCTCCTGGGAGTCCACGTTCCTGGGGGAAAGCGGAGGATGGTCGCTCGGAGAATCGAGATCATCCTCTTTACTGCACAATAAAAAGACAAAAAACTTTTGTTTTGTTGACTAGTGTTTCTTGAGAAAAAGTCACAGAAACATTAACTGCGACGGTTTCAGTATCAATGTAATGACTGTTACTGGTACTGAATTAGCACAGTAACTGAACCACAAACATGCCAGCTCTAAACATTAAGAATAATACATAGTTGTAATGAAAGTAGCTTACCTTATACGCATTTCTGGAATGTTATATGAAGTCTGATGGTTAGACGTCGGCGATGGATTGGCAGTCTCATCTTCGGGAGTGGGAGGGACCGTTTCGTCACCACATTCGAGTATATACAGATTCTCACTACAAATGTCAACGACATAATGAAGACTTTCCTGTGCTTTGTCGATTCGGAAAAATCGTTCAGCTGTACAAGCTGCGACAAAGAGAAAATGAATGAGAAAAATGATACATTTGTGATAAAAAAAAACAAGATTAACGTTAAATAGTAATGAAACCGAGAATTATGTAACATTTCCATAACCCATTACTTTTTTTATTACACAATCACAGTTCCTTTAAGGTAAAATGTCTTAAAAGATTGTTATTTTTCTGCAAAATTTCCTCTACACCTGTTTTTCGTGTACCTCGTTCCATTACAAATTGATCACTTTGTATATGAAATATACTTACAATCGATAAAGCACCAGTCAGAGCACATCATCTGCTTGTCTTTATTCTCCTCTAACATAGTATTGATCATCGCCCTGACTTGTTCCAGATCAGACCCCGGACTAACTTCTATTTTACCTATATTTATTGCTAAAAAGAAGAAGAAAAGGATGAGAGATGAACAAACTATACTACAGAAATATTAAAATTAATTTAGCTACTAAAACAGTTCAAATCTGGATTGGTATGATAACATACCTACTGTTAAAGAGGTCAGACAATGTTACGGTTTGTCCTTTTTCTTTATTATGCTTTTATTCACAAGTCATTTTATTGTTATTTTCCACGTTTTCGATCATATTAAAAGCACCGACTTATAACTAATGACGTGGAAGAAAAGAAATAGGATACGTGAAAAATAATATAAATATAGTACCTGCTTGAGCTAGAAGATCTTTATCATAATGATGTTGTTCATAGTCTGACATCGTCAGCTTGTTAACGCCAACATTAAGATTGTCCAAAGCAGTTTGGATCGGTACCGGCTTACCAAATTTTCTTTTCGCTAACATAGGAGCTTTGTTCAAGTGACTTAGAGTAATGATAGATGGCCCTAATTTACATGCCTCTCCGTCCACTTGCATGGGAATTGTCTTGGAGGTCGTGATCTTCGCTGATCGGCACTGAGTGATACACGTTCCATGACCGCCCGCTTGCAGAAGCGGCTGAAACAAGGATAAATTCTATAGAAATCTAATAGAATAGTATATAATATACTGATATATACATAGATATATAAAAAATATCAAGATTTTACGTAATTTATGAAAAAGTTTATTAGACAAATATAACGGTAGCGGGTAGATACCCCTTTATGGTCCCGATAGAGGGTATACTTACTTCAGAGAAGTAGCGTCCCTGTCCACGCGAGCTACTAGTTTAACCTTCATTCCCTACTTAGGTGAAATCAGGCCCAAACCCTAGTATTATCCTACCTAAACTCCAAATTCCTTCCCTATATCCCCCCACTCGCCAACCAGTCTGCCAACGTGGTAAGTTATTTATCGGCTAAGGAATAAACCCCGACAGAAAATTCTGGTCCTCCTAGCAAGGGGGTTTAGGGGCCAGAAACACATTTTTGGAAAAAATAGTAATAATAGTAATAGGAGTTTGAGTTGGTTGTTTTCAAATAGTTTCAATATTTCAGTTTGTATGTTCATGCAGATCCAGGAGAATTGTTGGATTTTAATTTTTATTGCATTATTTTACTTCACTGAGCGTTATTTCTGGTCCTGGACATCCAGAAACACTGACCTCTGTTTCTTGCTCTTCCTTGAATAATTCTTCCATGTATTGCCTCCATATCTCAAGTATTCTCTCATTTTCGTAGAGCAGATTGTTGTGCTAGTCTAGTATTAAGTTATGCCTTCGTGATCCGTTTTCTTCCGTTAAGTTTTTAATCTTTTTATGTAGGTTAAAAGTGTCATGCTTCTGTTCTAGGCATTCTATTTCTATGCATTGATCTTGTAGCCATGATTCTTTTGCTTCTTTAATCTTTTTCTTAATGATTTTGTTTATTTCTTTTCATTTTTCTTCATTTTTATTTCTGGGTTTTCTTCGTTCTTCCATTAGCTCTAATATTTCTTGTCTCATCCACACTTATATTTTCTTGGTTAGTATCTGAGATTACCATGCTGTCTATTTTGTTGTTGATTTCCTCTTTGACTTCATCTGTTGTGGTTTTGTCTTTCAACTTCTGGATGTCCGGATGTTTTTGTGCTTTTCTTTTATGACCTTTTTTCATGTGGAGTTTGAAACGTCCTAGTAAAAGATTATAGTCTGATGAAACATCTGCTCCCGGATATGTTTTTGCGGATTTTACGGAATTCTGATATCGTTTGTTGATGATGATGTAGTCGATCTGGTATCTAATCATTTTTTTTAGCAGTCAGCTGAAGATTGTAATATGTTTGGTGGAAATTGTTTACTGATGATAAAAATATTTTAAATATTATGGTCGACAGGACAACACACATGATAAGCACTATTTTTCTACAATATTTTTTGTTATTGAACTTAAGGTTAAGAATAAACAAATCAATAGATCTAACTCTGCAACTTTATGAAATACTAACTCTTGAAAATACCTATTTTCTACGAAGTACGAAATGTAGACTTCGTAAATGAATATCATATTACATAGAGTGTAAGGTCACGAACTAATAAGTGGAAATGATCATCGCTTTTGCTTGTACAAACACAACTGAGAATCCAATTTCTCTAAACATAAATAGAAACTTTGCTCTGAGTGTATTTAATCCAAATATTAATATCCGTAGATCCAGTAAATGAATCTTAGGTTTATACTTAATTAAAATGGAATATATTATTAGTTAAGGCCAAATTTTCAATGTATATATTGTATATGATATATGTTTTATACGATTTTTTATATTTTATTTTCGCTATCAAATTATTTCTACAACTGTATTAAACACATCTTTAAATTTGGAAATATATTTGTATATTAACCCATTATCTACTTGGGTGCCATATATGACATACTAAACAACGACCTTTTCATCGTGACTTACAAGATTGATCTTCACCCACAATTAATTTGTTTCTGATCCTAGAGATGGCTCTACTGCGGCATGCTGCTGTGTTTTTTAACTTAATTGTAGATTTCTACATGATGACTCTGTAATATTTTCAAACCTTAAAATAAATTACAGTTTTCTATCAATATATCCATTGGCTGAGTTGCCAAGTTGTGTAGACAGTAATTTTATCAAATACTTACTAGTACACCAAGTAAGTAAATATATATTTAACAACATCTTTATGTATAATATTTTACTGCTCTGCTGTGTTAATCGGAATATAGTGTAGCATTTGCAATTCATTGATTTTTTTGGTGTATATTGGAATCCCCTCGTATATGTAATATATTGAAATCCCCTCATATATGTTTAAAAAATCGAAGAGTATTTTAATGCATTTCAGTTTCCTATTAGTACGTATTAAAACCCAAATATGTTTTCAATTCCTTCTTAAGTCGGCTCGAGAATATAAACCATTTAATAGTTTGTTTATATTTTACAGATGTTATTTCTTCGGTATTACTTTTAATGATTTATTCGTTGCGTTTTATAATAAAGGATTTGCGTTTCAACCATCGTTTAAGTGTTTTGTTATTTTAAGTTATGCGATCAATTTTTCAGGATAATTTCGTTACTTTGGGTGAAACCGCTGTCAAAAGCGTTTATAGTTTTGTTGGAGTCTGAATTTTTCTTCAAATTCGTAATGTTTTTTCGTTTTTTTGTCTTTTGTCATGGGGAAATGTGTAGTGTGGTGGCAGCTAAGAGCTCGGCGTGTAATCTTCAGAAAGCCAACAGATCTTGTCTGTGGAAAGTTATATGTGTTTTATTATGTCCTAAATGGAAGATTTGTAAGGTGTTACAACGATATAAGAGGCCATCGTATTTTTAATAAAGTTTTGAAACGCCAAGCTTAGAAGATTGCAATTTTTTAACCCAAAACCCGATTATCCAGCCCAACTTCAACTTCCTTCATCTATCTGTTTGTCCCTGGTCATTCTAGACCATTTTTGAAGCTTGTGCATTTGTGTTATTTTGCAATGTTTAGAAAACCAGTTCCAGCCCCAAAACCTTTAAAGGAGATATAATGTTTAGTGAAATCAGGTACTTTTTTTGTTAATTTTTTTTAAAGTAAAAATAGACATTTTTCATCAATAATTGCTTTCATGACAAGTTGAAAAATTGTAGTAAGTAAAATTATAAAAATTAGGGATTGCCTAACTGTCATAATAATTATTTTTATACACATAACTAACCATACATTTTGAATTTGTTTTGTTTTGTTTTAAAAATGTTGACCTTAATGTAAACTGCATTGGAATAATTATTATTTTTTTTGTAACTGTTTGTGGTATGACGCAAAAAATAAATATTAAATTTTGTTTTCTTAACATTTTGTTTATTTTTTTTTAACTAATCCCATCTTTGAGTTTTATCTGAAAAAGATATGTTTTTTATGTTTAATAATTATTTATCTAGTTACAACTAATGGTTGTAATAGGTATAATTAGGCACCTCAAGTTGCGCCCTATATTAAATTACTAGAGGTGTTTTCTGTTTTTTTTTTTATTTGTTTATCCCAAGAGATTATGTTAGTACCCCTTTTGTTTCTTTTTTCTGTAGTTGCCCCAATCCACCCCCTTATCTTTTACTTGTCCACGACCCCAGCTCTCCTAACAAACTCTGAGTGTCATTCGCACAAGTAGCGATTATTTTGCTTGCCTTATTTCCACTCCCTTAGTTTCAGTTTCCAATTTTTTATCCACCAAGTGGTAAGCAAAAATAATTTCGTTACAATAGTATACCAAATAAGCAAAGTTACGCAGGAGCACAAAGTTCCATCCACACATATCAGTGAAAAATGACCCATATTTATTATCTAAACACTCTTATCGACAAAGAAATTATGTAGGTACTTAGCTACGCTATCTGTGAATATCGTATTACCATTAAATTTATACATGTTATCATATATTACATTTTTGTTGATAGCTAAAAATTAAATTATCTGGGATTATTTAATATTTTAGTGGGAATTATATTATAAATGGTCAATCATCAAAAATTTTATTTAAAACATGCGAACATGTCTTCCTTTTGGTCTGTTTATTACTGGTTTCAGGTTTGTTATCTTCCAAATTAGTGCATCTTCTTCTTTTCTTTGTAGGTGTCAAATCATCTCAGTCTTTGTAGATTAATAAATTTTACTATGTTTTCCCCTTTAGTTATATTTCTATTTCTTATTTCATGCTTCATTAGTGTGTTTCTATATTCTCCTTGTTCGGGCTTTATTAGGCTGTTTATTCTTACAATTTTGCTTTAAATAATTCTTACTTTTTCTTTATCTTTTTTTGGTAAGACACATTACTTCCGCTCCTTATGCTATCACCGGTCTAATTGCTGCTCTGTATATTTTTGTCTTTGTTTTTTTTGCAGTTTTTTTATCTTTAAGTAGTGGGAGATATTTCCAAAACACCCCGTTCTTCTCTCGACTTGTGTGCGTGGTAGTGTCATGCGTTGGATGTATGGTTTGGGGTGGTTGATGCGTATTTAGTTATCACGGTTCTATTTGGTGTATTTAGTTCTTCAGTTTCCGTATTCGATCATTGTATAACGCCAAATGAGTATGTGAAAAGTGGTATTGCGTATGTGTTTATTGCTTGTACTTTGTGCTTCAAATTAATTTTACTTTTGAGTATTATTATTATTATAATACAATGATATTGAGCCAAAGCAGAGCTTATATGCCTCAAATTACATGTAAAAATATTACAATACATGTCGCGTAACTTGCATGTGTCTGTTCTATGAGCCCTTTCGCTTATCAGTTGGCCCACCTTGTTGGAATTTGCAGTTTAAGTCGATTACCATAAACAGATTATACTTTGCATGTTTTTATAAGTTCCCAAATTAATTAATATGACATTTTTATTATTATTTATTAAAAACATGTTTTTTTATTTATTTTCAACAATAAAAAAAAATTCACTAAACCCTGGCTTTGCATTCAGTTATATCAACAAACGTTGAATTTTTTTTAATTACGTTAAATCCAGAGGTAACTATGGAAAAATGACATCAAAACAATAATATTGTCAGTTAATGTCAAATGTTTTTTGTGGTATTGTAAAGCTTTTTGCCGTTTGTTGGATTGTACAATGGATCGAGGTAAAGTTATCGATGGGAAAATTTGTTCAATCATTATTAGATTTTTTAATTCTGGAAAATCCAATTCAGAAATCGCGAATATGTTGCAATCTGAAAACGTTCTCATGCTATTAAGAAGTATAGCCAGAAGATATAAAACTACAGGTTCGGTCGTCACAAAACCTAGAAATATACGAAAAAGTAAAATAACCGAAGCAGATCAAAGAACATTAAGACGTATTATAGTGAAAAATCGACGATAAAATTATATGGAGTTTTATAGAGTGACGTTATTGGAAGACTCGTTTCTCTATCAACATGTCACCGAGAGGCCTAAAAATTAGGATGTGCTACTTACAAAGTAAGTCTTATAAATGAAAAAATTACGAATTGTTTTTAATAAATTTCATTTTATTTTAGACTCTCAATAGACTCAGATAGGCAGGACATGTGATACGCAGTAACGACAATCGCCTTATAAACAATGTGTTCTGGGAAAGGCCAGATGGAAGAAGGTCTGTAGAGCGGCCTAGAAAAAGGTGGAAAGATGCAGTCAGAGAAGATCTTTAGAAGATGGGAGTGCGACAATGGGAATTACTGGCA